TTTAAATATAATTGATATTACTACTTCCATACACTGGCCCGAGCAGCTATAGCCTCCTGTGCCGTCACTGCCCCTAACTAGCCTTTTGCTCCAAGTAGGACGGTTTAGCTCTTGTCCCCTGCTATTCCTGCCTGTCTTCCTCCTGGTACCCACTCAGCCAACCCTGCCCATCCGCAGGGCTCAGCTTTTAGAACGACCCCTGTGTGGTCACTGTGGGAAGAGGGCCTGAAGGGGGGCAGGTTGTGGGAGGAGAGTCAAAAAGGAGACAAGAGCCTGGCCGGTGTGGCTCAGTGGTTGAGCATCGACCTATGAACCAGGAGGTCACGGTTTGATTCCCAGTCAGGGCATATGCCCCAGTAGGGGGGTGTGCAAGAGGCAGCCAATCAATGATCCTCTCTCATCATGGGTGTTTCTATCTCTCGCTCCCTCTCTGAAATCAATTATATATATGGCAGTGACCAAGGGGCCAGGCCAGGAAGAGTGAAGCCATGGGGTATGGAGAGGGGTGGGTGAGAGGACATGGGGGGATGATGCCATGAGGTGGGGGGGGCCTCAATATTGCTGGGAGGACAGGACAGGAAGGAGCAGGAACGGGGGCTTGCGGATCCAGAGGACCAGGAGACTGGAGCAGCAGGCGACAGGCTCACCAGGAACAAGCTGAACTGGAGCCTCTGTGAGTGGCAGACGGAAGCCAGGCTGTGGGCCAGCAGGAGGAAGGACAGGCAGAGGTCCCCCTAACTAAGGCAAGTGCTGGGAGCCCTTCCCTGGAGACTCACTGTAAAGTCCAGACCTGGCCTTCTGGGCGGGGTCTTGTGGAGGCCAGAGCCACACACCACCCCTGCCCATAGTCACCAGCTCCCCTCACCACCTCCCCTGGTGTAACATGTGGAGCTCCCTCTCTGAAATCAATTATATATATGGCAGTGACCAAGGGGCCAGGCCAGGAAGAGTGAAGCCATGGGGTATGGAGAGGGGTGGGTGAGAGGACATGGGGGGATGATGCCATGAGGTGGGGGGGGCCTCAATATTGCTGGGAGGACAGGACAGGAAGGAGCAGGAACGGGGGCTTGCGGATCCAGAGGACCAGGAGACTGGAGCAGCAGGCGACAGGCTCACCAGGAACAAGCTGAACTGGAGCCTCTGTGAGTGGCAGACGGAAGCCAGGCTGTGGGCCAGCAGGAGGAAGGACAGGCAGAGGTCCCCCTAACTAAGGCAAGTGCTGGGAGCCCTTCCCTGGAGACTCACTGTAAAGTCCAGACCTGGCCTTCTGGGCGGGGTCTTGTGGAGGCCAGAGCCACACACCACCCCTGCCCATAGTCACCAGCTCCCCTCACCACCTCCCCTGGTGTAACATGTGGAGCCAGAGGCCTCTAAAGTGAGGAGAGTGAGGTCCTTGCTGGTCCGTTTCCAGCTGGGGCAGCTGAGGCTCAGAGATAAAGAAAGTGGCCAAGTCCCCCCGAGCCAGAGGCCGAGCCAGGATGGGGCCTCAGACCCCAGATTCCCAGCCCTCAGGCATCTCCCCTGCCCGGCATTTGAGAAGGCCTCCCACGATGACCAGGAAGACGCCCTGCCCGCCTGCCCCCAAACCCTTTCCGCCCGTGCTCACCCTCAGGCCCACTCAATTCCCAGAACCCGTGGCCACATCTGCCATACCCACTGCAGGCCGGGCTCAGACTGAAACAGCCGGGTGGGCCACTGTCTGGATGGCAAAGCCAAACAAACAAAACCCCCTGGGGATTTCTGCGCTGACCCTGGTCGGAGCCGCCCGGTCAGCCCAGGACCCGGCTCCGAAACAGGGACAGAGCAAGGGGTCGGCAGGCCTCCTGAGGCCCAGCGCTCCTGGGAGGGATTCACACTGCAACTCCCCAGAGAGCAGAGTGGTGCAGCGGAAGTGTGCTGGGCCCACATTGCAACTCCCCACGCGTGCCCACTGAGTCTGGGCAGCTGGCCTGCCTGGGGCCTGGACACTTGGTGTGAACGAGCTGCTAGCGGGCCTCCTTGTTTTAGCAATGGATCAATAGTCTAGTGATCACAAGCCTCACAGGTGACACGTGAGAAGGAGCCAGCTCGTCCCCTTCTCCTCTGCTAACCCACACGGAGGCTCCGAGAGGTAGAGCGTGTAGGTCACAGGCAACAGGCAACAGGGCAGAGAAGAGACGGGAGAAGGACGTTGGGGCCTCCTGAATAGCTGCCTCCTTCTGGACATCTCCTCCCTCCCCAGCATCGCTCACCCTCAAGGCAGAGGGAAAGCTAGTCTTCCAGACCCGTCAGTAAACAGACACTTCCTCCTCCTGGGCACGCACCCCCAAACCACAGTGACGTCACCACCACCTGTGACCTCACCACGCACCTCATGGAAAGTGACTGCGGGCCCAGAGAGGTGAGCCCTGAGCTGCGCAGTCCCAGCCCGCAGTCAACAGCGTGACACAAGGGGACAAATGCCCAGAGCCCGGGTGGTGAGGGAGGCCTGCAGGACCCAGGCGGGGGAGGGCTGTGTGCCCATCACCAGTGATAAAGCGCCTCTTTGAGGAAACAGGCCCCCCACTACTCCAGGCTTCCTCGAACCTGTGGGTTCCACACAGCAGGCCCCCGCAGTGGGTGCCCACAGCATGAACTTGCCCACAATCTCAGCCCCAAAGGGTCTGGCTGCTGAACCATGAAAGGTGCTAATTGGGTTCTAAGCGGCAGGGAGGCGGAACTAGGATCCTGTTCTGCCCAGGGCAGGGCCTGAGTCCCAGAACTCATTCCAGCCCAAGCCGTGGGGCTGAGGGCAGCGGGGAGAGCGAGCGGAGGGGAAGCACCGCTATGAACGTGAGGCGTGCGGGGCTCTCCTTCCCGGAAAAACTTTAGCCCCACCCCCCAGTCTGTGGCCTGTCAAGCACATGCGAAGCTGACAGTTCCCCAACATTCCAGCAGCCAGCGTGCTGGGCTCAGTGCTGTGGGGTGTTATGGATAGGGATGCTTAAGGTCACCCAGCAAGCCAGTGACCGCGCTCGGAGGGGACTCTGGCCTCCTGCCACCCAGGCCAATGCTCCTGCTCCTCCCATGGAGCCCTGCCATCTTGGAAGTCACTTGAAGGCTGCGGGGTGGACAGTATGACCCACAAGTGCCTCCCCGGGTTACAAATAAACAGAACCTTTAGGCTCTCAGAGGTTAGAGATGGAAGAGACGAGTTTTGTTTTTTAAATCCTCACCCGGGGACATTTTCCCATTGATTTTTAGAGAGAGTGGAAGAGAGAGGGAAAAACAGAGAGAAACATCGATGGGAGATAAACCCATCAATTCGTTGCCTCCTGCATGAGCCCCAACCAGGGCCCAGGCCGGAAAGGAGCCTGCAACTGAGGTACATGCCCTTGACTGGAATTGAACCCAGGACCCTTCAGTCCGCAGGCCGACGCTCTATCCACTGGGCCAAACCGGCTAGGGTGAGATGGAAGAGAAGACTATTTAGAGACAGCAGCCCGGAGTCTTTGAATTTATATTAGTTCACACAAACACTCCATCCATGCTTTTGTTCCAGCCCTCCGGTCCAGTGTAAGAACCCATTGTGGCCCTCGAGTCAAAAAGTTTGCCCACCCCTGGGCTAGGGTGAGATGGAAGAGACTATTTAGAGACAGCAGCCCGGAGTCAGCCACGCCCATCCTGCAGGGGGGAAAGCAGAGGCCTCCTGCAGCCCCTTCACACAGAGGTCACCCTGCTCCTCCTCAAATCACACCCAGGACCTGTCACTCACTGAAAGGAGTGGGGAAGGGCGGGATAGTGATTTCCTGACCGGACAGCCTTTACCACATTCCCCGGGGGGCCTACAGCCGGGCCGCTGGGCGGGGGGAGTGAGAGGCCCAGCAAGGGGGCATCTGGGAAGGCAGCACAGCCAGGCAGGAGGGAGACTGACCTCAGGGATGTTGGGCAGGAGCTCTGGGCAACTGGAGGTCTGCCACCCACACCTCATGGCTCTGTGGCTCAGAGAGAGAACCGGATTCCACAGTGGACCCGCTCAGCCTGGCACTGCCCCAGGACCAGAGCAGGTCAGACCTGCAAAGCCACCAATGCTCAAACTGCTGCCCGCAGGCTTTGCCACCCATAAAGTACTTTTAATCCTGACAACCAGCCAGTGAGGTGGGGATCACTCCCATTTTACTGATGGGAACACTGAGGCTCCCAGACATGCCAAGGACACCCAGTCTGTAAACAGCAAAGTAAGGATTTGTGCTGAGGTCTGTCTGATTCTGAGGTCGGGCCCTTTCCCTGAGTCATCAATACTGCTTCCCCGTGGCCGGCAGTGGCCAGAACCGGGAGCCACAGCAGCTCCACTATCACCCTATCCTAAGCACCCCTCTCCCTATCCCGAGCCCCAGCTTCCCTCCCTGCCAGCTTCTGGACAGGTCACGTGTCTACTAGGACCCCGAGTCACAGCCAGTGACCCCACGGGAGTGGCCCCATTGTGAGCCAGGGCGGGAATGAGCACTCCTAGCCTCTGCAGACTCAATAGAGCAGAGAGACGAGCCCAGAAAAACAGTCCAGAGAGAGGGAGACAGACCGGCAGCCAGTCCTGTCACCATTGGCTTTTCAAACTCCTCTGTCTCATCCACAAAACGGGGTCACTATACTGGTCAGGTGAACATTTTGGGGCATTTATTCCACATTTTCTGCGTACCTACTACACACCAGGCTCTGTTCTAGGCCAGGGCTTCCCCAGAGGACATCTAGCAATATCTGGAGCCATTTCTAATGGTCAAAGCGGAAGGGGCAGTGCTACTGGCACCTGGTGGGTAGAGGCCGGGAATGCTGCTGAATATCCTCTGACGCGCAGGACAGCCCACGCGACAACCACCCAAATGTCCAAAGTGCTGGGATGAGAAACCCCACGCTCTATAGCAGTGGGCACATCCCTGCCCTCACCGTGCGTGCATTCTACTTGGAAGACCCAAATAGAAATGAAGAAACAGAAGAGGTCATGAGTGTTATTTAGGAAAACAAAGCAGGTCAGGGAGTGAGAGTACCTGATGGGAGGAGCTTTTATAGGCAGGATGGTCGCAGAAGGCCTCTCTGAGACGAGCCCAGAAAAACAGTCCAGAGAGAGGGAGACAGACTGGAGGCCGGTCCTGTCACCATTGGCTTTTCAAACTCTTCTGTCTCATCCGCAAAACGGGGTCACTATACAGGTCAGGTGAACATTTGGGGGCATTTATTCCACATTTTCTGCGTACCTACTACACACCAGGCTCTGTTCTAGGCCAGGGCTTCCCCAGAGGACATCTAACAATATCTGGAGCCATTTCTAATGGTCAAAGTGGAAGGGGCAGTGCTACTGGCACCTGGTGGGTAGAGGCCGGGAATGCTGCTGAATATCCTCTGACGCGCAGGACAGCCCACGCGACAACCACTCAAATGTCCAGAGTGCTGGGATGAGAAACCCCACACTCTATAGCAGTGGGCACGTCCCTGCCCTCACCGTGCATGCGTTCTACTTGGAAGACCCAAATAGAAATGAAGAAACAGAAGAGGTCATGAGTGTTATTTAGGAAAACAAAGCAGGTCAGGGAGTGAGAGTACCTGATGGGAGCTTTTATAGGCAGAATGGTCGCAGAAGGCCTCTCTGAGGACTCATTCATTTGAGCAGAAGGAAGTGAGGGAAGGACACCAGGAGGTATCAGCAGGAGGAACAGTCAGGGCGAAGGGGACAGCAAGTGCAAAGGCCCGGAGGCAGGCATGGGTGGGGCATGTTTGAGGAACAGAAAAAGGCCAGCGAGGCACAAAACTGAGAACTAAGTTGATGTGCTCAGTTGAACGTAACACACGCGCACACACAGCACAGTTGGCATCAAACTCCCCCTCCCCTCCCTCCCACCCCACAACCTTCCCGGCTACTCGCCCACGAAGCATTGGATGGTCAGGGCCATAAAATGTCTCCGGCCCTGCGAGGGACAGGATGAGTGAGGGCCACCAGAACGCTGGCAGGTTCTCAGCCTTATCTGCTCCAGGGCCTTCCGTACGCACTTGGCCCTGAGAGGGAGACAGGTGGGCAGGACTTCCCACGCCCATGGGAAAGCAGAGGCTCAGTAACGTGGTCTGGGTGCCAAGGGCAGCGAGGGGCAGAGCCTAGGTCAGTGACCACTGACAGGGTGGCTCCTGGAAGGCTGGAGCTGGGTCGTGGTCATCTTGGTCCCTAGAGCCCAGCACGGGGCTGAGCTCGGAGTAGGTGCCTGTGACTGTTGGGGGAATGAATGGGTGAATAGCACAGCACCAAGGTACCAGGCCACCTGGCCACTGCCCTCTGAAGAAATGATGCCTGGGCCACATCCTCACTCAGCACGCAGGTTCCCTTCGAGGCTGTCAGGGAGGGGGCAAAGGGACAGCACACAGCTGGATCACCCATCGCCACTCCAATGGCCAACATCCCAGGCCAGCCTGGAAGCCCCAACCTCTTCCGTCACCTGAGCTGGGTATTGAGGAGGCAAACAGCAGCCCCTCCACCCCAAGACATTCAAGGGTACGTAGGTCAGACCCAGCAGGTAGGGATCCCCTCAGTCCCTCCCCAACAACAACAAAAAGCCAGACTGCTGGGGCCCTGCCCACCCCCATTACAGGGCACCAGGCACTCCCCAATCCTGCCAACTTTACTGGCAATTATTTGTCCAATGAATGAAGGAATGTCCAATCCATTCCATCCCAGCCAACAAATACAGCTTGGAGGCAAACGCCCTGATTACACAGTGAGTCTGCTGTCCCTGCAGCCAGCTCAGGTCGCCTTGGGCTCTTTCTGTAACTCAGTCTAGTTACAGCCAACGTTACACAGGATCCACTGTGTGCAAGGGACCCGGCTGAGGGCAGGAACAGGGATACAGGCATGGGGAGGCTATCGTGCAAAGAGCTCTGGAATGAGGCAGACCTGCATTCATATCCCTGCCATCCCCCTCACCCCAGCTCTGCAATCCTGGGAAATGCCGTAACCTCTCGGGCCGGTTTCTACACCTCTAAATGGCAACAGCACCATCCACCTTTTAGGAGTTGCTGTAAGGAAAATTCCAGGGGGATCCTGTGGTAAATTCCTAGCACAGTACCAGGCTCTCTGGAGATGTTCCAAAAACTGGAGCGATTGTGCTGGTGACAATGAGAAGGAGGAGGGCCCCTCAGTCCTCGCCCTCAAGGAACTTTCTATCTATTGAGGTGGATAAAAACTCAATTAAAAACGTGGTTCAGTGGTTGAGGGATCACCTATGAACCAGGAGGTCACGGTTCAATTCCCGGCCAGGCCATATTCCTGGGTTTCGGGCTTGATCCCCAGTGTGGGGCCTGCAGGAGGCAGCCGATCAATGATTCTCTCTCATCATTGATGTTTCTCTCTCTCCCCCTTTCTCTTCCTTTCTGAAATCAATAAAATAAAAAAATTATTTTTTTTTTTTAAGCAGAATGTAACCTGTCTCCTTCTCTCTTCCTTTCTGAAATCAATAAAAAAAATTATTATTTTTTTAAACCCTATCCTCGAGAGGGACAAGGGCTCTGAGAGTAAAAGGGAAAAGGATCAGATCCAGTTGGAAGAATGAAGAATTCAGGGGGTGGCGTTTGCAAAGGCCCTGAAGGACAGGGCAAGGGGTGCACCATGAACAGCACGGGGTACACGTGTTTCACAGGGTGTGAAGTACAGATGCAGAGAGGGGGCAGCAAGAACCTGGATACCTCTGCCCTGGGACACAGGGGTAGGTGGCGGGGGAGGGGGGGTTCTGCCTCGGCAACGGGGGCCACAGAGGCTTCTCAGGCAGGGAGAGAAATGCTCCAACCTGAGGAGGGGCTCCCCGCGATGCCACCACAGAGGGTCCATGGGAGGGGGCGCAGGGCCAAGAGATCAGCTCGGAGGCTGTGGAGATAGTACCAGGAGGAGGGAACCTGAGATGACCCCGGAGCCGGTCAAGAGAGGAGGGAGGTGAGAGATGCAAGGGAAACCCCTCAACTCCAGGACTCGGGCCTGGTGTCCCGTAGGCCACAGAGACCTGTGCCTCCACCCCAGGGGCTCACGTGCCGCCGGAGCAGGGTGACGCCGCTCGAGCCACTGCGGTCAGGCTGAGGACCACAGCCGTCAGCACCCACGCTCAGCTCTCAGAGCTGGGACTCTCCACCCAGGACCACCTCTGGGGCAGTCCCCCACAATCCACTGTGTGAGAGTGGATTCTGGTCGGACAGCCCCTCCTCTGCCTTCAAGAACTGGACTGTGAAATTTCAGCCTTAGTGGGTGAGTCACCACACATGGCCACATGAGTCAAGGCCACCTCCCCCACTTTCCTTCCTGGTCAAGATGTCCAAGATGGCTCAGTACAAACTACAGGTCCATCAGGGAAGGACCATGAGGAGGGAGGAAGGCCCACCCCCTCCCCAGCCATGGGGGGAAAGGAAGAGATGACCCTTTGGAGGAAGACTGCCTCCCATGCCCTTCCATGAAATACAAGGAGCTCTCTGGGCCTCAGTTTTCCTTCTCTGTAAAATGGGGTCCCTCCATTGTACGAGAGCATGGAGACAGCCACAAAAGCAGAGGACAAGCCATTCCACTGCCTTGCTGGCTGGTGGGTGCAGTTAGAATAACAGCTCTGGGCTTTCTGCTCTCTCCATTTTCCTGGAGCCCCTAGAGACCACCCACAAGTCCTCCCTCACCTCCTTGGTCCCCAGAGCTCAAGCACAGGACAGGTCCCGGGGAGGTGGGCCCAGGGGAAACTGAGGACACGTCTCTCCTCCTCGTTACCCAGCAGCCGCCAGAGAAGAGACTCTCAAGTGGCCGCTGGACACACCAGATGGCTCCTGGGGGAGGGGGCTGGGCATGGAAATCAGCCCACGGTCCGACTGTGCCCTTATTAGGCGCCTACTGTACACCTGGCCCTATCCTTTCAGAAATGCAGCCCTTGTATTTCTAAGAAAGAGGAAAACCATAACCCAGAGGAGGAGGAAGTCATCTGAAGAGGGTGCCTGGCAGCTGAAAAGGGTGCCCGGCATCCGCAGTAGGAGCAGCACCCCAGGGCAGGCCACCTCCTCCCCACGGGAAGGAAAGCTTGGTCTCGGCAGTCACAGGGGTAACGAAGGGGGGATCTCCAAACGCCCTGGCCGGGACTGGCGGAGGGACCTGACTGCGCCCCCGACCCCAGGGGCCAGAGTTCGGTGCCCCACACAGCCCCTCCTCGGTGCCAAACCGAGGTCCCCAGCGGGTCTCCAGCGGCGCAG